ATTATTATTTTGCCTGCCCCAATCAGCATGTTTTGCATTAATATCACCTGCAATTATATAATAGTTATTTATTGTATTTAGATCTAATAGTCGGAATGTATTCTCCCATTCCTCTGCAAATTTTCTACCATTTCTTTGTGAAGCATATACTGCCATGATCTTTACGCCTTGTACTGCATTGATTTTTAATGAAATTGCACACAACTCCTAACATTCATACTTCTCAAACTCAATTCTATTTATCCTTTGAATTTTATATTCTTTTTTATACCCGTACGAACGTATGTTCGAAGGGTATACTAAATTTGCCTTACCGTTTGTAACGCTAAGAAATAACGGTGTTAGATATAGACTCAAGTGTATGTTTTTGATCAGCGTCAAATTCTGAGTTGATTTAGCTTTGTCTGTCCGTCCGTCCGTCCGTCCGTCCGTCCCAACGATAACTCAAAAACTAATTGAGCTAAGTTCACCAAATTTTCACAAATGATTTATTGTGGTAAGTGCCAGAACCCTATTTAAATTGGACATGATCGGGGTACCGGTTCGGGTAGCTGCCATACAACTTCAAAATTTATTTGGCTATATCTCAGAAACTATAAAAGGTATGGTATTGAAATTTCACACAAGTGAATATATTAGTAGGGCCGATGTGTCACATAAAAGTCGTTGAAATTACTTGCTCCTTCTGGTACCTGCCATACAACTTCAAAATTTATTTGGCTATATTTCAGAAGCTATTAAAGCTATGGTATTGAAATTTCACACAAGTGAGTATATTAGTAGGGCCAATATGCCACATAAAAGTCGTTGAAATTACTTGGCTCCTTCTGGTACCTGCCATACAACTTCAAAATTTATTTGGCTATATTTCAGAAACTATTAAAGCTATGGTATTGAAATTTCACACAAGTGAGTATATTAGTAGGGCCAATATGCCACATAAAAGTCGTTGAAATTACTTGGCTCCTTCGGGTAGCTGCCATACAACTTCAAAATTTATTTGGCTATATTTCAGAAACTATTAAAGCTATGGTATTGAAATTTCACACAAACGAATATATTAGTAGGGCCGATGTGCTTGATAAAATTCGCTAAAATTTCTTGGCTCTTTCTGGTAGCTGCCATACAACATCAATAGTAGTTTGGCACAACCAGTATTTTGAAAAACACATAGTACTGAAATTTTGCATTAATTAATATGGTAATACGGCAACTTAAAGTCATAGTCTGCCCCATAGTTAAATGGCACATTAGTTATTCGCACATAGGATAACAAATTCGTACAGGTATCACAGAGTTGACAAGGTCAACTCTATTTTTTTTCTCGTTTATTATTATAGCTGTTCCTCCACCTAAAGACGAATTTGGCCTATCTTGTCTTATTATTTGATAATCTTTTAAAAAAATTTTACGTTTCCTATTCGATTTGGTCTCACATAACATTACTACGTCAGGTCTGTATGTGTTTAAAAAATACGTAAGATAACCCTGCTTTTCTTTTGAAACTAAGGAATTTATATTTAACGATATTACATTTAGTTTTTTTTCAATTATGTTATTTATATTTCTAATTCTAAAATGTTACAAATTACTTTTATATTTTTAGAATGATTTTCAATAACAGTATTAATTTTTTTCATTTCACTCTATAAGTTATTTAATATAATGTTCATATTTTCTAATGTATTATTACTATTGTTAATATTATTACCATTTTTATTATTATTATTACTAAAACTTACATTTCTTTCTTGTCTGGTTTCTTCTTTATTTACAACCTTTGAAAAGGGTATATTGGGGTTTACATAATTTTGATACATAAGTATTATTCTTTGATAATAACATATTTTGTTTAATTTTTTTTTGCGTTCATTTATATTTTTAATTCTCACGTATTCCGCACATCAGAGGGCACATTTAAATAATTTTTTTTCAGCTACTGAACACTTACCCACTTTATGGCTTTCGTTGCATTTGACACATCTACATTCTAAGTTACAATTGTTTGCCGTATGCCCTAAACGCTGACACTTTTTGCATTGGAGAATTTCCTGTCTTATTAATTTCTCTCACTTAACGACTTGATAATTTATTCTATTAATTTTCATTACATTAGATAATACACTATTTGAGCTAATTTGAACCAAAATTATATCTGATATTTTATCATTTTTTTCGCAAAATTCGTTGTGAATCTCTCCACTTTTAAAAATTCAACATTTGGAACTTCTAATTTTATTAATTCATCTTTAATTTGCTGTGGATCATCATTTTCATTTAATCCTTTTAATATTAGCGTTTTAACTTTTATATTTTTGGGAGTATAGGTAAAAAATTTCGAATTTTTTGTCTTTAACATCTCTTTTATTATATGATAATCATCCATATCTTCCATCTTCAATAATTGCTTGCTTTCTCCAATTTTTTTAAATGAAAATTTTTTAAATCCCATTTGGATTAAATTATTTTTTAAAATTGTAATTTTTTCATTAAATATCACAATCGGCCGTGGCTTGTAGTTTCTAATAATATTATTTTTATTTTGGTCTTCAAAAACTGGTTTTTCTATATCCAAATTTCCATTTTTTTTATTTTTAATATGATTATTGTTATTACCTACTGTTGTCTGACTATTATTACCGCTATAATTATTTTTGTTACTTATAGAGTTACCACTTTCTTTCACTTGTAAATTAAGCGTTTTTGTTAAATCTTCTATTATTTGCTTCAATTTTATTACTTCATTTCTCAAAGAAAAGTTTTCATTTTGTATTTGGTCCTTAGTTTTATTTTTTGACTTTTTAGACTTTTTCCTATCTTCTTCTTCCGAACTCATTACATTTTTCTTAGATCTTTTTAAAGTGCTATTTTGAGAATCTTCTAATTCCTACATCACCCATCGTCCCAACACTACTTGGTAACATTGTTACCCATAGAAATTAACCTAAAAATTATTTTCCGTTTTTTTCTTTTTTGTTGTATTTTTTTCTTTTTTGTTGTATTTTTTTTTTTATATTATTATATTATTAAATATTTTTATGTTTGATTACCGATATTAACGACCGTTCTCTCCGAATGCATAAATGACACTCACAGGATACAGGATAATTAAATATAATTAAGCAATCTGAATCACTTACTTGTGAATAATTTAATGATCAAGTTAATTAAATTTGTTATACACAAAAATATTTATTAAAAAATCGCTTTTAATTTTTAATATCGACTTAATTTTTTTCTTGCATATATAATGCAATTAAATCAGGAACGTTTTGATAATTTCCTTGTCTTATTTTAATTATTAATTACAAAAAAAAACAGAAATACTTATATAACATATTTATGTAAATACAAAAATTTTAATATAAAATTCTATAATATTTTATTTTAGGCAGGATGCACTTATTATATTATAAAAGTATATTAAATATAATTGAATTTCCGCAATTATTAAAGTAATATGAATCCACTAAAATTTCTTTCATTATTTTGTTAAAATTTCAATATTTAATATAAATTTTATTTTTATTTTAAATAAATGCTATAAGAATTTCATTAATTCGTAAAAAATTTTCACGTGTTTACTTTTACATTTCTTCTTGCTTATGTTTTTTTATTATTGCACCAATAAAATTAAAATTATTATAAAAGATTTAATATAACTATATACATATTTCCTTCTTTTTTTAAATTAAAGAAATTTTCTTTTAATATTTTAGTTTTTTGTTGAAAGTATTTGAATTAAACTGCAATTAAATATTATTGCAAAATTTTTCAGCTTAAGATATCTACGTGTAGTTATAATCGAATCACTCAAAAGATAAAAAAATTACCACCTTATTTCAGCTCTATGCACTAACTAACTTTTTCCTTCTTTCCAATCAACCATTAAAGAAAAAATTCATACTTCAAATCAAAAAAAAATTCAAAATTCCTAGCGGTAAAATCGTACGATATATGCTCTAGAAATTTCGATTTCAAAGTTCTAATAGAAAAACGAACAACAAAAATAATCAGATCATAACAAGAAAAAAAAATTTATATGATGCGACATTTAACCCTACACAGAATTCCATATAATATTTAATACAAATTATTTCTATGTAACATCAACATGATCCTACACACACCTATAATTCGCATTAGGATAGTATATGACATATAAGGGTTAGAAAAGAATTCGAATATTTAAAACTGAAATGAAAAAAACTACAACAACGATTTGAATTATGCGTATGAGAAGAGAATAGAACGAAAAAGAACAAAAAAAATTACAAATATCAATAAGGTACAAGTATACTTATGCGTAAACATGCAAATCATGCGATGTACGACTGTACTTTTTTTTTGCTATGAATATGCATGTTAACGAATAATATTGTGTATACATGCACATAGGTTATATGCATGCACACAAAATTATTTTGTTTGCGAAAAAAAAGTAATTCTTATGGAAAAAGAGGTATAAAATCTGACCATTATTTTAAGTTGTATTATTGAAATTATTATTAGGGATGGGAATTTTAAATTGCGTTGTTGCTACATAGTGTTATGATTTTAAACTACAGGTTTGGTAGGTATATCAAGACTAAAGACTTTATTTTATTTATTCATATAAAAGACTTAATATTATGTACAGTACATGTAATAGTACTAGAATTGTACTAGATTATATTATTTATATTCAATGCATATTATAACATCTCCCTTTCTTAATTTTTTTTTTTTTTTTTAAATTTCTAATAATCATAATTTTTGTTGAACTCTATATAAAGTGATTAAAATTATTTTATTGTATATAATTTAATAAACAATTCCAGCATAATATACTTCCATATATACCTGTTATGATTTTACAATATGTATATAATCCATGTGACATTTTTAATTATCAAAATTCATATCAAATATGAAAATAAAGTTCATGTACATTTTATGTATGTATTTAATTTATGTTTAAGCAAAGTGTATAATATTAATAGCTATATTTTCAGGTAAATTCAATTTGATACAAATTTATTTGTTTGCTTTACTTTTCTACCATATCTAGTTTTATAATATATTTTATTTTCATTATTAGATGATATTTGTTCTTTAGTAGGGTTGCCAGGTGTTAAAACATTATTAGAAATTTCCTCAAAATTCTCGGCAGTATCAATCGAATCATTTTCATTTTTAATAGACTGAGAATTTAATGAATCATTAAATAAAATGTGTTGACGGTTTCGTCTATATTGTGATTCATTTTCTGAATCCTGTATTATGAAAGAATTAGGTTCTTTAGGAGTGTCTACAACATGTCCTGTGCTCCATGTAGATCTAGGATCTTTTTTATATAGAACTTGATCATTTATATTAATGGGTTTTAATTTTTTAGTATTCCTATCGTAATATTGTTTCATATTTTCCTGATATTTTTCAGTTTTTTGTTTATGAAGCCTACGATTGACAACTTTTGGTTTTAAGTATGAATTTTTTATTGGTAATAATGAACGTAAAGTTCGTGACATTAAGAGTTGTGCAGGAGACTCAAATTGACCCTTTTTTGTATTTCGGTATTGAAGGAGTCCTAAATATGGATCTGTACCACTTTCTGAACATTTAATTAAAATATTTTTAATTGTTTTGATACTTCTTTCAACAAAACCATTTGACCTAGGGTAATGAGGACTAGACGTTATACATTCTACTTCCCAATTATTTAAAAAATTTTTAAATTCAACTGAATTAAATGGAGGTCCATTGTCTGAAATTAATATTTTTGGGATTCCATGCCTAGCAAAAATAGACTTTAAGTGTAGAATGACATTTTTTGCAGTATAATTTTTATGTAAATTAGCTATTTCTATAAATTTTGAACAATAATCTACCACTATTAAGTAAGTATCATTATTGAAAGAGAATAAATCTATACCTATTTTTTCCCATGGTAAATCAGAATTTGGATGTGTTGTTAAAGGTTCTTTTGCATTTGATTGACGATATTTCTGACAATATTTACAAGAAAAAACTACATTTTTTATATCGTTTTTCATATTAGGCCAAAAAACAATATTTCTAGCCTGATTTAAACACCTTTCTATACCAAAATGACCTTCATGAATTATATCTAAAATACTTTTTTTTAATTTTTTGGGAATTATCAAGCTGTTATTTTTAAACAATAAATTATTATTTATTGAAATTTCACCCCTAAAATGAAAATATGGTTGAGCTTCTACATGAGCTAAACTACTTCTTTCAGGCCAACCATTTAAACAATAATCTTTTACAATTTGTAGAGAAACATCTTCTAGGGTTGCCTGCCTTATTTCATTTAATTTTTTGTGAGATACTGACAAATTTTTAAAAATCGCATTCACGTGAATTTCAATATCATTCTTAAAATTTTCGAATTGGCTATCTTCTTTTTTACATGCACGTGATAAAGTATCTGCAACATACATATTTTTACCTGGCACGTAAATCACTTTCAAATCATAAATTTGTAAATTTAATAAAATTCTTTGAAGACGTGGTGGTGCTTTTGATAGGGGTTTTTTAAAGATAGAAATTAATGGTTTGTGATCTGTCTCGACAGTTGTTTTATAACCATATATATATCTATGAAATTTGGTACAACCATAATAGATTGCCAACAATTCTTTTTCTATTTGGGAATAATTCTTTTGTGCGTCATTCAAAGTTGTTGAAGCATAAGCAATTGCATTTTTATCATGCATTAAAACTGCACCCATTCCGTCTTTTGACGAGTCTACTGAAAGTGTAAGAGCCTTTTTTGGATCAAAATGAACCAGAATTGGAGAATTACATAATAAACTTTTAATTTTATTAAATTCACTTTCATGTGAACTATTCCAGTTCCAAACAGTTTCTTTTTTCAATAACGATCTTAAATTAGAAGTCTCAATTGACAAATTTTTTATATAGGGACCAAGGTAATTTACCATGCCTAAAAATCTTTGGAGATCCTTCACACATTTAGGAGTCGACATATTTTTTATCGCATCAATTTTGGTTGGATCTGATGAAATAACATGCGATGAAAAGATATGACCTAAATATTTAATACTAGTAGTACAAATTTTACATTTTTCTTTATTAAATTTTAATCCTAAAAATTTTGCCCGTTCTAATAATTTATTAAGAGTTTTATCGTGTTCTTCTTTGTTTGAACCATAAACTAGAAAATCGTCAATATAAATTAATAAATTCGGAATATCACTAAATAAGCGAATCATATATCCATGAAAGATTTCAGATGCGGCTTTTTTCCATATGGCACCCCTAAAAATCTATACCTTCCAAATGGAGTATTAAAAGTACATAAAAAGGAACTTTCTTTATCTAATTCTAACATCCAAAAACCAGAATTTGCATCTAATAAACTGAAGTATTTTGAACCTGCTAATTTTGACCTTATATAATCGAAGTTTGGTATTTTAAAATGTGGACGCATTATTGCTTCATTTAGATTTCTAGGATCTAAACAAACTCTTAGAGTTTTATTGGGTTTTTCTACTAGAACTACTGAATTTACCCATTCTGTTGGTTCAGAAACTTTTGTTATAACTTTAAGATTTTCCATTCTTTCTAATTCAGCTTGATATCTGTCCAGAAGTTTGAAAGGAACTTTTCGTGGTGAATCTATTTTTGGTTTTACGTTTGGATTTATTTTTAAATGAACTTTTTCTGGCAACCTACCTAAACCTGAGAAAACATCATCAAATCTATTTAAAATAATATGCTTTTTACTATGCATTTTCTCATTAATTGTGTATACTTTTTTAATTAAATTTAGTTCAATACATGTTTTTAAACCAATAATTGGTAAGCAATTTTGTTTTTCTACTATATAAAATTCAATTGAATGTTTATTTTCAGCTATTTTGCAATTTAATTTACATTTTCCTAATATTTTAATATTTTCACCCGTAAAAGAAATAATTTTTTGATTAGTTTTTTCAATTAGTTTTTTATTTAATTTCAAAATTTCGATAATATTCAAAGGTAAAATATTAGCTTGAGCACCTGTGTCCAATAAACATTCAACAAATTTGTTATTAATAAATATTTTTTCTGTCCATAAATTATTTAATTTATTTGAAACAAAATTTAAGTATAATGAACCTAAAAATAATTGTGAATTTTCTTCTTTGGATAAAATTTTTACTTGTAACTTACTTTTACACATCTTAGCAAAATGATTTAGTTTACCACATTTCCTGCATTTCACTCCCTCTGCTGGACACTTATGAATATGTTTTTGACCACATCTTTGACAATTTTTTCTTGTTTCTGCATTTTCACCATATCGTTGCTGACTTTCATGTGACTTTGAAGAACCGTTGAAATTACCTTTTTTATAATAATTGTTCGAATTTGTAGTTTTGTAGTATTGTGGTTGTGCTGTAGACATATATGGCTTTTTTGTAAGTTTTGATATATTTAAAATTGAACTATTTTCCAACTGCTTGACCTGGCTTTTTGTATGTTCCATTAAAACTGCAATTTCCAATGCTTTATCACAAGTAATATTACCATCCTGCAATAATTTATCGCGTATTTTCTGATGTTCAATATTAAGCCCACAAATGAATATATCCTTTACTATATCATTTTGTAAACTTCCTAGCTCACAAGATTTACTTAAATTTTTTAAATTTGTAATGAATTCAGTTACAGTTTCACCCGGTTGCTGCGTCCGCGTGAAAAATTTATGTCTTTCCATAGCAATATTTTTCTTCGGTGAACAATATTCATCAAATTTTTTGACTATTTCGTCATATTTTGTTGTTTCCAAATTTAAACCAAATGAATTAAATACTGGAATGGCATCTGGTCCTAGTGAGTGTAAAAACATTGCTACTTTTCTAGTATCAGATTCCCCATTTAAATCTGAAGCAGTCAAGTATATTTGAAATTGTAGAATCCAACATTTCCACGTGTCTGACAAATTTGTGGATGTAAAATCCATATGAGTAATATTATTTAGTTTAAATTCACTCATTTTTCTTGAATTTTTATTTATTTGTAAATTATTACTTTGTTTTTCTAAATTTTTCAAATCTTCCGATTTAGACATTACTTTTATTATTTTGGCCTTTTTATTTTTATTTTTATTTTTTTTTAAGTTTTACTTTTTAACTTCTGACACCATGTTATGATTTTAAACTACAGGTTTGGTAGGTATATCAAGACTAAAGACTTTATTTTATTTATTCATATAAAAGACTTAATATTATGTACAGTACATGTAATAGTACTAGAATTGTACTAGATTATATTATTTATATTCAATGCATATTATAACACATAGAATAGAGCAATTTATGTAAAATGAAAATTTATATGCATGTATGAAAAAATTTCCTTTGATCTTGAAGTTAAATTTTTCTTATAAAAAGAAATATAGTTTTTCGAAAAAAAAAATGTTAAGTGCTTATGCCTATCCCTTAACAAAATTTAGGAGGTACAGCTATGAGGTGGATCTTTGGCACCATGGACGATGAAAACCGGCAAAATATTGAATATCATATACCTATTAACTTTAGAAAATAATAATCATGAATTAATAAAAAATTTAAATCAACAAATAAAAATAAATAATAATTTTAATTTAATGCATCATTATTAATAATGCAAGAGGCATTTAGAAATGATAGAAAACAAATGAATCTTTTGTACAAGTTAGAAGCCAGAATTTTCTCATTTAATCTCATCAATGAGCAATTGCTTAAATTAAGTATCATTAAAGAAAAAGTTGAACAGATTCAAGACAATATTGCTTCGGCTAGATTAAATTTATTACACCCAAGTATATTGTCAAAAGAAAAAATAATAAATTATAAGATAGATTTTGAAAAATTAAATTTAATACGATTAGGACTAGCTAAATATAAAGATGGAATAGTTATTTTTGCAATTAAGATACCAATTGACTATGTAACGTTAAATAAAAAATTAATTATTCCAATATATAATGAGAATAATGCGATAGTAGAACAAGACTTAGAATATACACTCGAATTAAATAATACTTATTATAATTTTGATTCAGATAAAACATTTAAAGAATTGAAAATATCATGAAATTGTGTTATTGCAAACAATTGTAAATTAATAAAAAATTTTGAAAGTAAAATATTAAATATTGACAACTCAATAATTATACAAATGCAGCTCTTGTGATGAAAGATATTTCACGCTAAGTGGAAATTATTTTATTAATTTTTTAACTGTAATGCTAATATTGATAACAGTATATTTTCTAACAAAGAATATCGTTATACAGAAAAATTTATAATTCCAAATTTAAATGAAACAAAATCTCAAATTAGATTAAGTTTTGAAGAAATTGCATTAAAAACAGAAGAAAAAACCCAGGAGAGTTTTCAAACTAAGGCGGGAGGAGTAACATCCTTAACCAACCATGAGATAAAAGAAATAATAAATATCATTGAAGAAAGTAGGTAAACAATGATAACGGACATAAAAGAACAAAGAAAGGCATGTTTTTACAACTATTACACTTATCAGGTAAAGTAGATGTTAACGTACAAATACATGTCTTGACAAGAAAATAATAAAATAAAAGATAATAATTATATCTGTTAACAAACATTAAATAGTTTAAAAGCCGAGACAAAGAATTTACTTTCTTTGTCCTAATAATTAAATATAGATTAAAAATACTTTAAAGTATAAATACATGTAATGATAATTTGAATCTTTAGTCTAAGTTTAACTGTAAAACAAATCGTTTATAATCCGTTCCGACCGTCGATAAATAAAATTATTGTTAGAATAAAAACTTGTTTTTTTTTCTTGTTAATAAAATAAAAGTACATAATTCGTGCCTATTGTCTATTTAAAAAAAAAATAATAATTATGATCGCTTTTTTACCTAAATATTTCAAATAAAAGAAAAAACAAAAGAAAAATTAATCATTGTACGTTAACATTCTAACCTTTATTAAGGATTAAAATAAAAGCTTAAAGTAAATTGAACAAAAGTTTAAAAAAGCTAGGATAAGTTTTCAGTTTTTTTGAGTATTAAAAATATTTATTATATTTCTACTATTAAAATAATTTTTATTCTATAAATTTCTTATAAGAATAATCAAATTTAAACCCGAATAGTTCAAAATTTTTATTTCTTCAAATTTAAGAAATTTCTTACAATTTAACTGTTTTATAATTTAACAGTTTTTTAAGTAAAAGTTTTAAATTTTTCTCTACGTTTTAAACTATTTGGCTTATATAAGTAAAGACATTTTGTGATTCAAAACTTATTACTTATTTATAAAATCCATTACATATTCTTTTATTTAAAATTTACCATAAATACGTATAGCCCATAATTATAACCAAAAAATATGCAATTATACATACAGAGGATAAGTGAACGAAATGAACGAGATTTCATGATAGGTCAGTGAAAAAAAGTAGTTCGTTCAGAACGAATCACTGAAATGAACGATATTGCCCATGATTAATTGAGAAGTTTTTCATTTTAAAAATCTCTAACAATGCAACCACAGAAACCATAGAGGTAAGTCTAAGTAATTAGATATCAATATTTAAATTTCATAGTAAAATACGTTCAAACTAAATCTGTATTGCAAGTGAGTTTATTTTTTACTATGAGGATTTTGCTTGGATCATGCGACCAAATTATGAAAATTGGTGATTTCATCTAGTGGAAATTGTAATACATCTGACTAAAGAATATTCTTTTAAAAACTACTATTTTGGTTTTGTTTACTTATAGACTAGTTGCAATTAGTGCGGCTACCATTATCTGCTGGTAACAATTCTTGGGCGGATGAAGGTAAGCTTGGAGGAAAGTTGTAAGAACTATTTTACTTTAGATATTCGTCTCTCTAACTAACTTCTAATGCATTTTCATGGGTCCATCCCAAGTAACAATTTCCAAGAGTAATACTCTCATACCACACTCGAATGCTTTCATAATTTTTATTTTTTTTTTTTAGCAACTCTCGTAAGGTTCTTATAAAAGACTTAGCACTTGTAGTGTTAAAAATTCTGCTGCTCTCATAGCAGTACTACTGTCAGCAAGCCATAAAAAATTTTAATTCTCATAAAGTATTTTTTATAAGATGTAAACTCTTATAGAATTTTGTACATAAAACAATTCCTTTATAAGATTAGTTGTTAGGCACGGCTTTTTTAATATTGTCACTTTTCCTTATGTAAATTTTAACCCAAATAGACTGAGAATTCTTTTTTTGGAAAGAAGTCCAAAAAATACTTATCGTACAGAAATTTCTGAATATAATAAAGCTTTAGTTGGAATTTATGCACCTTAGTATATTTATTTTTTGCTTAACAATTCTTAAATTTTAAAATTTATGTAAAAAATAAGAAATAAGATATTATAGCGTTAAAAAATATGTATAAAACTTTTTTTAAATTTTAATTATTTTTAGTTGGCGTTGCTTTTTTCGAAGTACAATATCAACTTTTATCAGTAAAATTTTAATGCCAGCAACTTTTCGATTTATAATCATGGCAAAAAATTATTTTAATTTCCCATATTTATAATTTTATAATATTAAGTTTTTGGATACAAATATTTATTGATTACATATCATATACGTAAACATATGTATGTTTTGTTTCATTTTCGTTAAAAAAATAATTATTAAAAGCGGAATAGATATAATTTTTATAAAGTTCGAAGTAAGACCGATATATTTATTCTACAATTTATTGTTTTCTCTTTTTTATAATAGTAATAATAGTAACACTATTATAAATGGCTTGTGTGAGTGTATTGTTTTTCTCTAAAAACAAAATTAAATATGTGTGGGTGAAGGATGGCAAGATTTTTGTGAAAAAAGAGGACAACATTAGGGTTATCAGAATTTACGATATTTCTTCTTTTGATGACGTCATTAACTTACCTAAATCTTGACAACCGATTGTCTTTTCACCAAGAAAATATTAGAATAAACAAAATCAATGAACTATCTTTTAATAATAACTGAGAGAAATTAAAATTAAAGCTACTGAATGAACAATTATTTAATTTAGAGTACAATTTGTCGCCGAATGAAAAATACGATATTTTAGCTAATACTATCGAAAATAATATAACTTGTACTACAGTAACTAAATATAAAAAAATTTTATGTGGTTAGCACATAACCGACCGCAATGTGTATTGTCTAGTTAAATAAAAGCGTTCCAGAATATTATAAAAATGTCCGTTAAATATTTTTTTCCATTTTTTAGGACATTAGTAAACTTTTAGTTGACATACCAAGAAAAATGTAAATTTGGCTCTTAGTAGAGTTTCGCTTTGTGTTATCCGAATTCTCTGAAATGCTCGCCAGTTGATTCGGTAACAACCAGAACTAAAATACCGTACATATGGTAAAAAATGTAAAATCGGCCCGCAGAACAGTTTTCGAGCTCTGATCTTTCCAAAAAATTTATAGATTCATTACTTGGATACGAGGAATTTAAATATTAAACTTCAATGAAATCGGTTGGTTATTTCTCTTTATATACCCAAAAATGTATATTTAGCTCGTAGTAAAAGTCCAGTTTATGACGCCTGATTTCTTCCAAATGTTAGGAGGTTTCGCGGATGGACGAGCAAAGCTTATACATAAAATTTCCAGAAAATCTGCTGAATATTTTCTTCATAATGATCAAAAAAGTAAAACAGGCCCGCTAAAAAGTGCAGTTCCCGAAGTCTGATATATCCCAAAAATTGATCAATCCGTGAAATAGCCGAAATACGCGTGAAATTTCATCAAAATCGGTTTAGCCGAACTTGAGATACACGTGTACACACAGACCGACAAACCGACAGGTTGTTAAAAATAGTTTATTTACATTTCTCTACTACGGGGAAGTGCGTTCTTACCGACAACTCGATATGCAAAATTTGCTGCCATAACATAACCTACCTTTTGTATTAACAATGCGGTCGGTAAAAAATATCCTAATGACTGGATTGATAATGAGGTCATTGAATTAATCCAAACCAAAAAAATCTGATGTGATCAGCACATAACCGACCGCATTGTGTATTGTCTAGTTAAGTGAAAGTGTTACGGAATATTATGAAAATGACTGTTAAATACTTCTTTCCAATTTTTAAGGCATTACTAAGCTTATAGTTAACATACCTAGAAAAA